CTTATAAAATTTAAGTACGTCAATTAATTTGATCAATAAGTCTGCAATTGTAAACGACATGTCGGCCGACTGATAACCAATCTAGGTTATAGTTGCATGATTCACCAACTTACTGTATAACTCTCAAAAAGCCTTCAAATGGTGAACTTTTTAATTCAGAAGTTCTTTAATTTTTTTTTTTTGCTTTCGAATTTTTTTGGCAACCACTTTCTTTCATAGTTTTTATGGTGATTTTAACGCTTTTTTTATTTAACTATGAGCAACACATTAATTAACAAATGTACAATTACAAAATTCAACTCAAACATATTTATTTAACTTCTATTTTAATATGATACTATTCAACAATTAAATTTATAAAGTATTTACTATATTTATTATCGCTGGGCAATATTTAGGATATTCAAACATGCTTCGGCATATGCACATTTATGCTAGTGTAGTTTCCTGTCTTGTGCTCTCATTTTCAAGAGGTAATAATATATTGAGGCTAATCAGACAAATTTGATGCCAATTTTTCTAATAAATTTCGGACATCCCAAATATCTTCAAGATAAAATGTTGCATTAGTTTGCTTTTGTTTCTTCCCAACAGTACTTGTAAAACAATTTAAAGATTTAAATTCATCATTTTCTTTTAGTAAAGAAAATACAGGCTCATTCGGTTTCTCATCACCAATGCAAAGCACAAAATAGTCTTGTAGAACTTGTAAATCTTTAAAAATTGCTCGAACTACAGTTGATTGATCAACCAACGAAGATCGGATTTCTAAAATATTATCATCCAAAATAATCTGAAACAAACAAAACAAATTAATTATATAACTTAACATTATAAATTAAATATTTAACATACATTTAAAGGCATGCGAGCTAAATGGCTCATCAAATTAACTTGTAAATCTAATGTCTGTCGTGAACCAAACTCAGGATTTGAACAACGATTATGCCATATTATGCCAATTTCTTTTTCTTCAATAGAAGTTCCGAGTGATCTTTCCACATAATGTTTAAATAAATGTAAAACTTTTTTTTTTAATACAGGATCAACCTGTTTAACAAGTCTATACCATCCATTATTTTCCTTTTTTATAACTCTGCGTTCATGGTTCAAAGTCGGATTTACTTTCTCTTGTAAACACTTTGGGTGTTTGTAAAAACAACCATGTTCTGCAGATAGTCCAACTCCAGTTGATTCAAACCACCCATCAAGGTGAATTCTACTACGACCAGACAATATATAAACATATGTGTTTGGTTTTTCTTGCAATGTTTTAAGAATAGAAATAATAATGTTTGAGGGATATGTCTGTTCTGCTGACTTATGTGTAGTAATTAATGTTTTATCATAATCCAATAGAATTATTCTTTTCTTAGCAGATTTTGCTGCTTTTATAACTTGAGTAAACTCTAAATGTGGAATTACAACTTGAGAATTATAATCCTTAACACGCTATAATAAAGATGATGATTCGAATAAGTTAAATAATAATTAAATTATTTGTATAATTGAAGCATTTAATTACCAATAATTCATTGATAAAACTTTTTCCCCAAAAAGAGACTGTATTATATGTAACATAACGATATAACTTTTGATAATTTAACTTGCGCAATTTTTCTTGCATCGTAACAGCTTCATAAATAACATCTGAAAATTCATCTGTGTTCCAAGGATTAACTAGAAGAGAGCCTTTAAAGAATACATTATTTAAATTTGTGTAAATATAATGTCAATATAAAATGCGCAAAATGGTAATACTCACCATCCAAACATTGAGCAGCTCCCGCAAATTCACTAAGAATCAACACTCCATGTTTACCTTGTTGACATGAGATGTATTCAAAAGGCAAAAGACACATACCATCCCTTATTGATGAAACTATGCATACATCTGACACTACATATAGCGCTAATAACTCTTCAAAAGAAATATCATGATGTATGAAGTGAATTGGTGATTGTACAATAGTACTGAACTTGCCATTAATTTTTCCATGCAGTTCATTTACAACTTGACATAAATTTTGATGCTCTTTAGTGTTAAATCGAGAAGGTTTGGCTACTTGAACAAGTACAACTTTACCAATCCATTCAGGGTTTTTACTCAGGAATAGGTCTAAAGCGTAAAACTTTTGCGGAACTCCTTTAGTGTAATCCAAGCAGTCCACGCCAAAAATAATTTTAATGTCTTTAAATTTGATCTTAAAGGTTTTAATGTGTTTTTGAACTTCCGGTGTTTTTATATTCTTCGAGTTACAATATATTTTTGTTAAAATGTATAGAAAGTAAATATTTAGAACATACAATAGATGAAATTATTCAAAAGATATGATCAGTAAATAAAAAACGGCATTAGTGTGCTTGAATACTTTTTTTATAATTTGAAGAAGAAAAAGTATCAGATCTCCATTGTCACTGTATGTAACGGTACAGAATTATGCCCTTTGAAATTCACATTAATCATTATAGTTAATTCAAAATTGCACCATTACATCCAGCGAGTTTCTGACCTTGAATATTAACATACTTTGGTAAATACATCTGGATTAATACCAATTGGAAATTTGTCGACATGTACATGTCTACCTTCGTAGTATACACTTTTAGGAGTAGTTAATAACCCCAATGTGCCAGTGCATGAAGATAGGAAGTGACGAACATAATCCAATGTTTGAAGTCCAATCAGGTCAGATTTAAGGACACTAGTAAGAATTTCTTTACGAACAGGAAGAATCCTATTTCATATTAAAATTTAGCAATTTAATCCAAATTATTTTCTATGAATTGTAAAAAATTGCATACCTATAAATTTCGCTACTTGGAAACGGTGTATGGAAGAAATATCCTATCTTTACATTTAAATCTTTCTTATTAATTTTTTTTCGTAGCATATCTGGTAGAAGCATAAGATCATGACCATGGATCCAGATTAAGTCACCATCTTGAACTAAGTTATCAATAACATCTGCAAAAAGTTCATTAACAGTTTTATATGAATCCCAATCTTTTTGACGAAAGAAGGTGTCCCCATGATGATAATGAAATAGTGGCCATAAAGTTGAATTAGAGAAACTATCATGGAGCTCAATTAATGAATCGTCAATAAAAACAGGATAGCATAGAGATTCCTTAAGTTGTGCTGTAATCTTGTTTTTTTCTTCAGATACA